CTAAGAGCAGTTGAATGAGACAGTAGCTTTACGACAGACCAGGACTAAAGTTGATAACCTGAAAATGAACACTGAACAGGAACTTCAGTTCAGTATATCTGTTTAATGTCTAATTTCCTGATAATTAACTCTATGACATTTTTCCTGCTTTTCCTGGAAATTAAATGAAACTTCCTTCAGGTCTGGAAAAATCTACATAGATTAGGAACCCAGGGAAAACATCCTAAAAAAACTGTTAAAGGATCTACAGTAACAACTGTAGAATCCCTCCTGCTCTCAGCTGTAACAAATATTCAAAGTATTAGATCTCATCCAGAGTGGACAGCGTCAGCCAGCTGTTGAAATGAGAGAGAGTATTCTGCAGTATTAACAGTAAACAACTTGATCTGAAGGAGGAAACTGTGGCCGATGGTTGAAATTAGAATTTATTTTCATATAAACACGCCTGTGGTTTCTACTTTATTGCCTCATTGAGGACAAACCCAGTGAAATCTGTGGTGGTGACGATGCAACACCCCTTAATAATTAAATAAAATTACCCCCACAACTGACAAGAGCCAGAACCCATCCATCAGCAGTAAAATGCAGTGCATTCACATGTGCTGTGAATTGAATCTCCTGGTATGATCTGTGTGTGTGACAGCTTTACGTCAGTCACTACAGAGGTTTGTGTTGGAGTGTCACACTGGACGCTCCAGCGCTTGAGTAACAAAGTTTATAGAAAGCAGCGATATTTCTAAACAACCGCAGAATTATGCAAACATGGTTTATTGAGGCAGAAAGTTGGCCGCTGGGATTACATATGAATTAACTTCATGTCATTTGGCCTGGGAAACAGGCTTTTTAGATGATTAATGTTAGAATCTGATGTTGAACACATTGTGCACATGATTCGACCAGCCTTAACTGTAATTCCCATTTAAACACCTGTAAATTAAGTAGTAGATTCAAATTGTAGTATCTAGGATCTAGGCTCTCCAAACACAAGTTGTTCTTACCTAATGTATTCTCTACCACTGATGTATTGAGTTAAACCATTATTGTACAAAGTGTGGTTTATGTTCCATTTTGCTTCCATACTTATCCAACAGTAGTAGAGTGCAAAATAGCAGTCAGCAGGACAATGGCACATGTAAGTACTGCGGCATCACACTGAGAAGGCCTTGGTGATTGTACACTGTTATAAAGAGTAGTGTGCAATTCTGCTCTGCTCACCTGTTCCTTTGCTTGAGAAACCCAGGTCTGAATCAGCAACTCCAGTCTGGACTTGTGGTACTTTCTGGTTGTCTTCACAGCAATAAAGATGTCCTTCAACACTAATGGGTCATGTGACAAAGACAATCCGCTTCCTTTTCTTCTAGAGAAAGGCCATCTGTCTTGGCTTCTCTGATCGTCCACAGTGTCTTCCTCGCCATCCTCAGCTTCTCTGGTCCCTCCCTGGTCCAATAAGCTCCAATTTAGCCCTGTGGCTGAGTCTTTTTCTGCACCGTCCACATGGACCGCTAGATCTCTGGGATGGGACAACGAGCCCACCTGTGTTGGTCGAATTCGGCGTCTGGGCTGAGGTAGATTCACATGACGAGCCGAGGGCTGAAACGAGGGGATGAAGAAGAGCAAGAGGCCGCAGAACAGCAAGGAAAACAGGAAGCAGATCTTGCTGACACCCACTGAGGCAATGTGCATCCTGACCGGCCAACAGAGCAGGTTCATCAGCCTCCAGGGCTGCAGCCGCTCCCAGCAGAACCCTGTCCCATCCTCACAACATCACTGAGAGGCCTGCACAGAGAGGACAACAGTTTAAAATTCTAGTTTAATGTGTTTGTCCCCATTTGTCTCCATTTCACCACATCAAATTCAAGCACTTTATAAGAGAGTTTCACGTTCCTTTCAATGCCTCTCCAGCACTCCACAGCTGTGGAAAATAGTTTTGGGGGAGAATCTGGCACACAGAGGTAAAACCAAGGCAGAGCAGTTTTAATTTACACTCTTCAGTGCATTTTGTCTCTTTTTACTGTGCCAAAATTCCAGTCAGACACATTAAATGGCAAATTTTAGGAAAGTCAACATTTAAATTTAAGAAGCTCTTTTGGAATTAGCATTGCTTGACAATTAGGCTGCAACCAACAAGATTCATGTTCCTGTGGAAAACAAAGGTTCTGGCATTTGTGGTCAAATGTCTAAAGAAAGCAATAATGGTTGATTTAATCAAACTAAAAATGTGAAACAAAGGCTGTGGCAATTGTCAAACTTAATGTTAAATTAATGAGTAAGTCTTGCTTTATTTATTTATTTTACTTTGTTTTAATCCAGATACCTACGTCGTTGACTTTTATTGTTCTACCTTTCAACTTTAGTTTTGTTACTCTCTCTCTCTTGTTACTTGGCAATAAAGCTAGTTCTCTTAATAATAATAATCATACAATTTAATAATTATAAAAAGAATGATAACGGCAACAAAATGAGCTCAAATAGACGACAGCATCTGTCAATGGAAACACATTCTAGTGCAGTATAGTGTGTAATGCAGCATAACGAAGAGCATTAGTACTTCTTTACAACATAATATGGGTGATCGAAGGAACAACTTTTCATCACTTCAGTCAGTTCAGCAGCGACAAGGAAACTTCATTTTAAAAAACCAAACAGTTATCTTACTTAGAAAATCCTCGTGTCGACGATGTTGAAGAATAAATGCCTCCAATGCTCCACTCGTCGTCTTCGCTTTTGTTCCGGCGTGACTTTAAAATCACTCCGTTTTCACCGGATCAGACATCAAAAACTAAAACCATGTGTTACCATTCGGCGTCCAGTAACTAATAAACAAAACTCGTTAAGACGCAGATAACCTCTTAGTACGAATCTAGCCCGCGTCAGGTTAACAAAACACCGGAGAAAACACAGTTCGAGCACCAAAGTAGCCGTAAGTTAATCGTTGATTGCAATCGTATTTCTTGTGAATTCTTTCAAAATAAAAGGCCTATAGAAATGACAAATTAATGCAGCGGTTTCAAAAACATGTTCATGGGATTGGTATGTAATATAATATGTTCTATTGTTAGACCAATTACCTTTTGTTTAAAAGCACAAGTATTTTGTTGTCTATACCACTGTCAAAGTGCTATTTTCGGTTTTGAAAGCACTTCCGGTACATCAGTAAACTTGACAAAGCTCGTAACTTGTTCGTTGGTTCCTTTAGGCAGCAGCACAGCGACCTCACGTGACCATTAGCAGTCTCTGACGCAGCGTTTCACTGATCAGCACGACTTTAAAGGTCTGCTGTGGGAAATGTACCAAGACATTAACCATAGAATTACGCAGTATAAGTCACTTCGAAATGTGACCCAAAGATAAGGGTGCTTATAAAGTTCATACCCAAAAGGACCTGAAATACAAAAATAAAGGGTGCACAAGATTGATATGAGTCTTTATTACAGACCACAACACATCACCACTCACTTTATTTTCCACCATTCACTGACCTACATCAAATTTCATGCTTTTTGGTGCTTTTCCTCATAAATGGTTTTGTATTGGTAAACAAGGAGAATGAACACAAGAAAGCCACTGGACACAGCACAATACTATTTTATGAAGAGTTCTGGGGTTTGTTTTTTGTATACACTGATCAAACACTAGAGGAATCACAATACTATAATACTGCAGACCAATTATATTGCACCATGTGGTGTCATGGTCTCAGAACTCTATTTTATGCCATTTGCACTGCATGAAACCACAATAAATCAGTCTTGTGTTACCCTTCTTCAGTTCTTATGTTAAGGTATTAATTCAAATAATAATACTTGTTGTGATCCACAAATTATAATAATTTTTTAAAGATTTTTAAACAGTGTGTTGGTGATAGAATTTTCTCCTATAGTGAACGCTTTAATCGTGAGGGAGACCGTTTGCAGTGATGGGATGACGTAAAGCTATACAATACACGCTAGAGGGAGACAGATAACTGCACATGGGGCCCAAACACGCAGACGGTCAAACACACATGACCAAAGGCCCCTTTGGAGACACGGGTGGTTCGTGTTGTGGGGGGTGGGAGTTGAAGTCCACTCATTCGTCGAACCGACCCTCCAGGATACTCTCGAAGGAGAAGGGAACGAACTTAAAGCCCTGGCCAGAGTAGAACTTGTTCTGAAACTCCACCCTGTAAAATGACAATAAAAAGGTACAAGTACACAAATATTACTCAGAAATGTCTGTAATGAAAGCTCCACAAACACAAAACTGATGCAAATCTCCAAATACAAAAGGTCAATTATTCAATGGCTTGTTTTGAGAGTAAAATGAAGACGCTTTTTCATGTTCTGTTAAAATGACTGTGTAGCAAAGATCAACAGTTTGTTGTTGACTGGAAACTCCAACAGCATCCGTGGGTGTGGCTGCCACAAATTATTACAGCCTAACACTAAAGTAAATTAAGCTGCTGATGAAAGCGAGAATGTCTCTGACTTTAAAGAGAACTTTAAATGATGACACTCCTCACAGTTCAAAGGTGATAACAACAAATTCAGTGGCCTGTTATCACGACTTTAAGGCAGGGCACATTCCATTAAAGTACAGTCTGTCAGAGTAAGATACCTCCCACACAACAGTGGAAATATGTTTACATCTTTTCCTCAAACGTCTCCTGCATGAGGTACACAGATAATGTAGGAGCGCAGTTTTACATTTAAAACGTTCTAATCCTGTGTCGCCATCACATTTACATTTAGCTTTACTTTTACAAAACTTTACCTCAGAGACTCAGTGGCACATGATGTACCACAGAGGCTGGGTTCACTGCAAACAGCAAACACATGAGTGTTGTTTCTATGAGTTGTCTGGGAGATGAGAGCCTGGAACTGTTTGTTATGATGTGATCTTTTTCAGACTCGTGTAATATTTTACAAATTACTCTGACAGGTTGTGGAAATCTGGCAGTTCTCATTTTGGAAGCAGCCATTTTTAGAGAATGGTAATTCACAAATCATACAAAAGTTGCCCTCTATGATTCAGCTAAAGGTTAGCAAAGAGACAGCTAGACGTCAGCATGCAGAAATAGAAATACCTTAGCTTAGCTGGCCAGGCATGTAGTCAGAAACTGCTAAAAACAATGGACAATGTCTAACCAAAGGTTTCTTACAACTGTTCAAAATGTGCGTGATCATCGTCTTTTAATCACCTCACCATTCCTGTGGATGTAGATGAATGTTTCTGTTGTGAACAAGGTTTATTAGCGCTGAAGAACTTACAGCTAACCTGGACGAGTTTCAAACCTGTGATCTTTGATAAAGGCAACACTTTCCAACAGTTTGGGTGCTGCACAAGCACTTTTTTTTTTTACAAGAGCACAGTAAGTAGTCTGAGGAGGGAGGTTACAAGAGCACAGTAAGTAGTCTGAGGACTACTTTTATGACATGAGTTTTTTTTGTATTGCTAGAACTAAAGAATGTAAAATGCATTGTGTGCAAATACTGTGTATTTTCTTGCTCTGCAAAAATCGGAGCCTGTTTTTGACTCTGCGTATGCTGCAGTTTCCAAAACAACAACAGAGGATCCCAGAGCCAGGGCAATAAGGACTGTTTGACATTCTGTCAAACCTTTTTTTACATTTTGTTAATAGATACTGGCGTTAAAAGGACAGGCATGTATTAAGATACAAAACTCTAGGTTCCAATAAGCATTTCCTCAAGCGTGTTTATATTACATCACTGGTCCTGTAACTGACTTGAGGTCACTCCTTCATACATCAGAAAAACACGATATCTGGATTAGGACGATAAAAGTGAGGTATGTGCGGAAGATGAACTCGGAACGTTTTCTGATACAATCATCGTCAGTGTAATTCTTTCCTCTCTGGACACAAAAGGATTATTGTTATTCTGAAATTCTTAACAATCTGATGTCTTCATTTAGGAGGGTTTTGGGTTCCTGTTGGTTCCTGGCCTCAGAAGAGAGGGGAGTGCCCAGGAATGTCTCCTGGCCATGGCAAATATTTGGCCGGCCTGAGAGGACAACACTTTGAAAAGAGGAAAGAAATGAGATTTCCTCTGAGCAGAGGTGGAAAGAAAAGCTCGTACCTCGCACGTATTACCCTTCACATGCAGAGGTGTGAGCGTGTTTGTGTAGCTAACTCATCAGCACGTGTGTGTGAAGGGTGGACTGGGTCATTTGCATGTTGCAGGACTCTTTCCATCCACTCACCTGTGTGAAAGAATGCTGCACTACTCTTTTTGACCTTAGCAGGGACATGTGGAGGTGACACACTGCTGCTTTATTAACAAGGGGCTTCACAACCGTGCATTCAAACACACACCGGCGCCTGAGGGCTCAAAACAGACCTTCAAACCTCCACTGAACAATATGAATTCCTACGAAACAAGTTCATAAATTCAAATCATACAAACCAGTGCATTTCCTCCACTGTGGCAAACTGATTTAATGAGTCTGTCCCAAAAATAGTGCTGTGCCCTGGAGGGGCCTGCCCCTCACTTTGGGAACCACTGCTGTACACAGTACACAGTAGGACGTTCAATCTGAACATTAGAGGTCACAAGGTGCATCCACATAATGACATATCCACCCAAACTGTGGTCTTTCAGTCTGATGCCCATGGCAAAGTTTTTTCCCCCCAAAAATGTAAATATTGAAGCCAGTGTTTAACTGTTGTGTTTAACAGCTTAAAAACGCCTCAGTATTTTTCTATCACTGCTGGTCAAGGTCAACTGAAGAAGACACTAACAGAGCTGGTCCTCAGTAGTTTGTTCATTTTGATGATGGATGAATGGGAAGAAAAACACTTTTTGGGACACAGACAGAATAAATGATTCAGCGTCTGTGTTCATGGTGTCACCTGGTCCAACAGTGCGGTTCACTTTTGTGGTTTTTTGATATTTTTGGAAACAATGGAGCCTCTTGTGTTGTAAAGGTCGGATTCGACACATCTTCACCATGATCATAGTTTACATCCTGCTATTACAACACAGAGAAGATGTTACACCCATTGTGTTGCTCTCTGTGCATTCTGTAAGCTGTTGTTCACCTCGTCTCTGAACTCTGTTCTGCATGTATTGCAGCTCAGGGCCTCTTGAAAATGCGTGCTTCTTCGTAACTGTTTTATCAGGTTATCCAGTAAAAAATATTTTCACAGCCTTGCAGATGTTCACTCATCATGGATATCATGGAGCTTATGTGTATTTTTGTGGTATTTTGTTTAGAAAAGCTCATTTCTTTTCCTTGGATCTGATGAGAAGGCGACTCCATTGCCAGCGATGTGCAGATAAAAATGTGTAGCTTGGCCTGGAGTCAAGCTAAATGAGCTGATGTCATAGAATTATATAAGATATAGATACAGCAATTAAGACATCAGAGGGAATTTGATATAAAATCACTACTTTGGGGGTGGATATAACCAACCCTCATTTGTCCAAACAGACACGTTGACATTTAGATAACAGTCATTTGGGTAAAAATAACTGCAAACTGAAATCTATTTACCCACTCATTGTCATTTATTCTGGATTTTATTTTTATTTATGTGTACATTTACTGTGATAAAATGTCTTCTTTTTATTATGATGACTTAATAATTCACGATAACCTCCATTTCTTCTTTTAACAGGCTATCATAACATCTGACATCATGACACAGCTTAGCTGTACATGTCATAGTAATGATCGCACTTTATCCTGGTGATCAATGACCTGCCTCCAATGTGTATTTGGCATTTCACTTTGTTTCTTTTGGAGCACTCTGCAGAGGTGCAGGGTGGATCAGCTGGGTGGAGGTGGTGCTAGGAGGCGCCTGAGCAGGGTGTGTGTGTGTGTGTGTGTGTGTAAGGTTATCTGGAGTTGTGTTTGTGTGCCTGTGTATGTTCACAGTTTGGAGAAGCTCTCCAATTCAGGAATGTTTCATGTTGACAGCATTCCTGGTGTATAAGCAAAAGTGCAGAACGGCAGCTCTGGCAGAAGCACGTAGTTCAAGAGGTGGAGCACCACAGCTCACTGTGTTTTCAATCAACGTGGAATCCATTGTGTCGAACTGTTCACTACGATACTGTGTGTGTGTGTGCACGTGATGAGTGTTTTTGTGGGAGTGCTGACGTTGGACATACTGTATATACAGTACATAATATCTGTTTGGACTCTTCCCTGCCTGCATGTGAGGACAATGTATAAGTTTGTTCCCCGGTTCCATGTGTGGATGTTGTGAGTATACTGTATGTGTGTGTGTGTGTGTGTCTAACCAGTGCAGACGGAGGGCGTGCAGGAAGGCCGACAGCCCCTCCATGACCAGCAGGATGGCGACAGTGAGGATGGCAAAGGCAGCAAAGATGATTGAGAGGCCGAAGAACCCGCCACCGCTGCGAGACGACAGGCCCAAGTGCATGACCATGGACCACAGGACCTCTGACAGCTCTGCACACACACACACACAAAACAATGCAATTACTACAACATACACACAAGATTCTTCATCCTGGGGGTTTCTTCTTAATAAAAGTGACTTGACTTCAGGGTCCAAATGAAAGTACAGAGAAAAACGAGTCATTGTTTTTACTTACGTGCATGGGCCAGGCTCAGGGCCCAGAGTCGCAGGTAGGAGGCAGTGTTGGAGATGCAACCCAGACAGTACTCTATGGTGTGGATGGCCTGGTGAACAGCCACATCTCCAAAATCAAACTGTGGTGGAAGAGACAACCCCTCATCAGTAAGAGTCAGCATATTGACTCTATGGATTTAGGACTGTTTCATCTAAGGTCTGCTCTCTGGCATATTATTACACATATGTTTCTCAAAATCTGGCTGCAACCCATCAGTGCAGTTTGTTTGTGACACAAATCATCACATTTGTTTATTTTAGACCTACTAAACACTCAACCCTGTATGTAACTGTTAGGGTGGCACCCAGCCAGTATGAAATGAACAGTGGAAATGACTACAGAAATCAGGTTATCAGTTTAACCAGATTCTGCCTTCACCCTTGATCCCTGGCTGAGTCCCAGGGAGTAAAACAAAAAGCAAACATGTCAAACTTGTTTGGGTTTGTTTCTGCTTTTTTCCGAGATCACAGAGCAGGCTATTGTTTGTGTATTGTAAAGCCAACTAGAGTTCCTCAATTCTCTCCATCCTGGAGCAAGACGAGCCTTTCCTGTGTGAAGTCGACAGGAGGAGGGAAAAGAACGGGTCTCCAATGTTCTACGTTGCTGCTGTTGTTGGCTTTGGCTCACCAATGGTCTGGTTTCCTCTTTCCACGATTCTCTTTTGTCCTTGGACACGTGAAACAGAGTTCACGGAAGCTGCACTCATTGTTCCCAGTGAAAGGGTCTCTGACTCAAGTGGCTAATGAAAACAACATACATGCTAACATGCTGTAATGGCAAAAGGGACGGAGGGAATGTCATGACCACATATTCATATGTTTGGTACACGATGGATAAACAGTACATTTCTTTGGGTTTTTCTTCTTCTCTTACAATCTCAGCTGTTACTTTCAGGGTTGCAACAAAAGATAAACCCAGAAAAAAAGGTAAAAGTCAAAAAGTCTGGAGTTCATAGTTACAGGTACTGTATATCTCCTGTTCTTTATTTGAGTGTTTTTAAAACCTTTAGCAGTTTTTTAAATGCCAGATGTCTTCCATCCTTCCCAGGGAGGCTCACACCTTTTATCAATAAACATGAAGTGGCCTCACATTCCTATAAGGTTTACTTGCTGCTTGATTCTTCAGCCTCGCCTTCGTTGTTGCTTTTTCAAATCATCCTTTGATTGAGGATCACTCAGTGTTTTTGTGGGGTTTAAATGTTAGAAGTGAACCAACAACCAAATCAGTTAGTGAACAAAACGCACCAACAGATTTCTTGTTTTCACACATCGTTCCAAAGCTAAGTTACAGTAAATGGCTGGATTTAATTTTGGACTATTTTCAGGTAAAAAACGTTAAGGGAACCAGAGACACAAAATATGACAGGGATCAAACAGATAAACAGATAAAATCTTGGCAGCATCCACGCATGCTTTTCAAAAAAGACATTAAGGTGTGAGTCTTACCGGCTCCTCCTCTGAGTGCTTGAAAGTAAATGAGAGTCAAATATTAGCAGCAGATATTCTTCTTTTTCATAGAAATTGAGGACAGCTATTGTCTGTAGGGAATCATCAGAAATGATCTATTTCTAAACCAGGCTCAAACTAAGGCTCTGTGAAGGATTAGGACTGTATTTCAGTCAGTGCTGTAAAAGTCTGCAAACATATATGGGAAAACTATTGCGCAACAAAGGCTGAACCACAGGAAGAAAAAAAAATGTTTTCAGAGTTCATAAATTCCACATGCTCCTTCTTATGACAACCACCTTTGTGTTTATGTTTCTGAGATGGAAACTCCATCTCTTATCAGCTCTGCTCCATACCAGCTCTCCCTCCTCTCCTCCCTTCCCCTCTAATGTCCTCTTCTCTCCTCACTACACAAGAAACGCTGCTCTCTAAAAGAACAACAGGGGTAATCACCGTGGTAGGAAACTATAAGCGCTGGGACAAATGTCTGTACTCTTCAAAGAAAGAGTGGAGGATGAGTAACTGTGCATTTTTTGCGTTATTACCTCATCCCCCTCCTCCGAGTGCTGGGAGAGATGGTCATGGTCCATGATGCCAGCCTCGTCCTCCGTGGGCCCATTGCCCACCCGGACTCCTCCGAACTTCTGTGTGCCCTGTTGAGTGAGTCCGGTGCATGATGAGGACACGCCTGTTTGCTCTAAAGACTGCTCTAGATTCTCTGCAGGGGTTTCTTCCCTCTTCTGGGACTAGATACAAAAGCCACAAGAGCTGTGTCTAGCTTAAAGCAAGCCTTTGGTTCATCGCTTTCTTTCTCAATTTGTTAAGCAACCCCACCCCAGTGCAGAAAGTGAAGCTTTCCATTCCAAGGTGTCACATACCCAACAGTTTTGACGGTTCATTAATGCTGGAGTCAATTTGACTGCTAAACTGTTTGAGTTTCAGTAGCTCTGGTCTCCAGGTAAAGTCAAATAAATGTCATGAAAATGGAAGAAATTATGAAATGTTAGATCAAAAACTGTTGGGTGTGTAGTTTTACTTGTCAGTTTGACATCAAAATATTAGCGTTTCCAAGGCAGGCTTTAAGCATCATTCATGACAACACAACCAACCACGGTACACAGTACACGGTGCATTGAAATGAATGGCACAGTAGGATTGGAGGGAGAAGGGTTATATCGCAGGTTATACATGTTACTGAATAAAAGTGTCATTAAAGGTCAAAGGAAGGCTCAGATCCACATACCAGGTGCCTTTTCCACAAATGCTGACGCCGAAGCACCATAGTTTTCACAACCAGCATACAGGGAACACATGCAAGGGCAATCAGCACCAACAAAATCTGGATCCCCATCTACAGATTCAAACAGAGAGAGGGTTAAGAATGTGATGGTGATGTCAGACAGGGAGAAGAAGAAAAATCCGACCTGAATCAGTTCTTCCACAAATTACAGAGTAACCACAGAACTGTTGGAACTCACTGACAGAAACAAGCTTTCCTCTTAGTCGATACTTCAGTGGACGACAGGTGTGTCCTGACCTTTACACTGTCCCTTAATAGTTGGAAAAGGGCTGAAGTTTCTGAGAAAAGAACTGCAGTTTCTATCTTTTATTTCATCCGTCTAAGGCAGGAAATTAACACCAAACACGATAAATACTGATCTAGATAGTTCTAGTTAGGAGTGATGTGGTTTTTGCAGTAAATCCTCCCTTTGGCTGACCTCAGCTACAGCATCACATGGGGAAAAAAACCTTGTGAGTTAGAAGAATTCGAGGGATGAAAAGACAGAGAGGGGGCACCTGTCCCGCGTAAAGGGGTTTGTTGGTGGGGTCGTTGTAGTTGAAGAGACACATGTTGATGAAATGGATGAGCAGGCTGGGAGCGTCCTTGGACGTGGTAGCATCGTAGGCCGTCCACTTGTAGAAGACCAACAGGACCAGGTAGCCAAAGAGGGTGGACATGAAGACGATCTCTGGGATGAAGCCCAGGAAGATGTTCAATGGCTTCTTGAAGTAGCTGCAGTGGAGGGAATGGATGAAGCAGATGTTTAAGAACCCAGGGTTTATTAAAGAAGCAGCGACTGCCGTCAGTGCTGCGTACGTACAGGTGGTTGAACAGACTGAGGGAGACTCCAAACAGCATGTGTATGACGCCCAAGACCACGGACATCTTCATCTTGAAAGAGTTCAGGAAAGTCAACTTGTTGGTGGCAACATTCCAAATCTGCAGAAAAGACAAAACAGGGTCACAATTCGAATCATATTTAATCCCCGGTGCAGTCTGCTCCTTTTTACGAGCAGATTTAACACAGCAGTGATAACATCTCCACCGCCAGCCAAATATTTGTGGTGTTTTAATGAGCGTGCAGGTTTTACCGGGTCAATTCCAAGAGGATACGGTCCATTGAAGACACCGGGGACAGCTGGGTCCAACTGGAGAACTGCGTTTCCATCCAGAGTCTCAAATCTATGAGACAAATGCAGTCACTAAGATAACTGACGTACTTTAGTTTTCAGAAAACAGAACAGCTGGCTGGGATGAAGAACTGCACAGCAGTATCTCAGATCGATTTTTTGAGGGTTTGAAGAGTTTTTAAGTACACACAACATTTCTAAGACCCAAAATAGGCAAACTACCCGCTTGAGTTTTTGTGTTATGTGTCATCTGAGCAGCTAGGTGAAGGAATGCAGTTATTAACCTCTCAGGCCAACATTTGGGTCACTGGGATTCCCTGAGTCAGGGTGTGAATGGTTGTGTCAACGACATGCGTATTTAACTCTAAAGATAGCCAATGACCCTCTGAGGTTAAATACCAAGAAAGTCAGGGAGATGTTTAGAGGATTCTTGGAATTAAAGGTTATGATTTCAAAGCACATTTTGAAAAGTGTAATTCTCTCCTACTGCAGTGGGAGACTGTGTGAGTCAGGCAACATTTCTGGAACATTAAGTGGCGTCTGGGTCCAGAGAGCCAGAGGCAGGACACTTAACTACTGAAACATAGTGCTAGGGACGATAGTGTTAGGGAAATGTTCTGGACGAACTTCAGAGTTATTTGTGGACACTCACTGACACTGACAGCGAAACAAAAACTCACAGCCCAGTCCAAGAACTTTTGCTTGACTTACGTCCAATTTGCTCCTTTGGGGCCAAACATGGGCCTGACGCTCCATCCAGAGCCAAACATATTCAGTGACTTGGAGAAGCAGTCGTTGTAAATGATGCCGGTGTAGATGGAGAAGATTCCCATCAGGAGGATGATGTAGCGCCCAGCAAACACCATGTTAAACATCTGCAGGGACACACGATGGATCCAAACGTCAGACACATTTTTTGAATGAGCTGTCAATTCATCAGAACTGGTCAGACACGTCTTCGGAAAATGACCTCATTGTCACTCTTCTGGGCCAGGATGCGACTCTCTCGGATGACCAGGTAGAGGGCGGCGCAGGTCATCAGCACACCGTGACCCATGTCACCAAACATAACAGCGAAGAGGAAGGGAAACGTAATGATGGTGTAGGGAGCTGCAACAAACAATTGTACAACCAGGCTCAATAAAAAGGATTCACATAGTGTGTCAAATAAAATGGTGTTTTTTAAATCACCCGGGTTAATCTCCCTGTAGTTTCCGATTCCATAGGCATCCACGATGTTCTGGAAGCCTGATGTGAACTTATTGGTCTTGTTGAAGGTGGGCGGAGTCTGTTTGGTTTGCATCCTGTTGAGGATGGACGGCACTGTTGAGCCGCTCCTCTCCTGCCAAATAATAACAAGCAAAAGATTACAACATAATCCAGAATTCGGTGTTCTTAGTTTTAATCTGTACTTCATCGCTCTCTAAATGTAAACTATTTAAGGCTACCGTTCACCTATTCTGACCACTGTATTCGTGTCACTCTGCCCAAGCCAAATATACCATCAGATGGCCGTGTTTATCGACAGCCCACTTAGTACAACATGAAAGGTGTCAATGCTTATGAGTGTGAAGTAACAGATGACAATAACAGGAAGCAGAGCCACGAAGTCCTGCTGCAGAACAGTCGACTCCAAATGACAGTAAACAACTTGACCAAACATTCAGACAAAAACATCAACTCACCGTCCCTCTACGCAGAGCAAACTGAATGGAGTCCAGGTCCGAGACAGGACACCACACCTCAGCGATCAGACACTTCTGTGTGACGTCAATGTTACAGAGGTTGAGTGTGTGGTAAATGGCCTTCATCTTCCTCACTTTGATGAACCACACGCGCATGGTTTTGGAGGCAGCCTGCAGCACACGCTGGCGGTGGTCCTCGGTTTGGTTCAGCACCTACAGAGGAAGGTTTGTTTCACAGAGGACATTTCTCAGTGTACTGGTGAACACTGTGTGTTTTTGTTATTATAATCCTAAAAAGCTCAAACACATTTCTTTTCAATTTTCATCAACAAAATGTCAAATCTGCTATGCAGAAGGTTGTTATTTTTCTCCCTGGACCCAGAATATTTGCTATATTTGTGAATATTTGTGTATGTTCTCTTTCAGTGAAGTCACTGCTCTGCCACCAAAACCAGAGCCTTGTTTATTTTCACGCTTGAATGTTCAATATAATTTTCAGTAAAATGCACTATTGTAACACAGTGGAAGTCATTGTATGAGGTCAGCCTTAGACCTGCCAGGCTGGAAAATCATTGCCTTTCTCCGGCCTTAAAGAGATTAACCTTAGTTTGAACAACACTAACAAACTGGACAAAAGTCTTTCACAGATTAGTCACAAAAACACACACATACTGTACAAGAGCTTTTGAAAGTGGACATAATGAATTATTTTATAAAGAAAACTGAGCGGACGTCTTAACTCAGACTTCCTGTTTGTCAGAAGTAATTTGATTTCTTGTTGTCTAATAGGAAACGTGTAACAAAGACTACAAAGACGCCTTGACCCAATAAAACAAGTAAAATATGAACCATAATAAATAATAAATAGGTGTAACCTCCAGGTCCTGTTGCCACATTGTTTGTCATTTTTGACGTAACTTTCACCTTCTGTTGTTTGTCGACATCAGTTAATTCACTATGTAACGTCACATGTTTGGAAGGGCCTGACCACAGAGCCTGACCACACACATACCATCTGGAGGTCGTCAATGCGACTGTTGACACCAGCCAGCATCTCCTTTCTCTCCTGTGGGGTCTCTGGACACGGATACAGGGAGGCACGGAATCTGGGAAAATACAACCAGAAAATGATCTGTTAAAACATTCATTAACACTACAGAGTCAGTGTCATGACCAACTGACTGATGCAATTAAGGACAGTGTGGTATTCAATAACAGGGCTAAAAGCTCTGCACCATAAACCAGGCCTCCACCAACACACAGGTGGGATAAAAGGCAGGGTCTTTCTTTCATAATAAAAGTAAAGGATGAGAGAACGCTCACCCCTCACAGATCTTCTTCACTCTGTTCTTCAGCTGGTCACCTTGGAAGAAGATGATGAAAACTGATTTGTAGGCCTGGTCTCCCTGTTTGAAATACAAATACAAGGTTCAAACTTGTATTTAGTTGTTTCTTCTTGTGGACACTTTAATGTGAGGTTGTTTTTGTGTGTGCTGACCGTGGTGGGATCCTCCAGAGGGTCCTCGATCTCTGCCTTCCTGAGGAAAACATTTCCACGACAGACTCTCCACAGCATCCTCTCAAAGGTGGGAATCCTCTCCCTGTTGATCACCCCGGCCACAAATCTGTGTCCACCAAACACAGGGCAGATGAGGCCTTTACAATGACGAATATAATAATACAATAACTAGGTTTGTGCTCCAAAAATGTTGTTTTCCATTCTTCTAACATTTTAATAGGGAACACTGTGATCTGATAAGCAGACGGGCAAAACTTGTGATCTTGTGATCAAAGGCCTTTCTTCAGACAGCCAGCTTTTGTGTGGTGCCTCCATGTGACTTTGTATTTGCCAAAAAATCTGCCTTGTTATGATCCCATGCTTCCCTCAGGCTTTACCCCAGTCTGAGCGGTGCTCCTCGGCCTCCCTCGCTGCCTTCCATCAGTGCTGATGACTCTTCCAGCAGGTTTGGATCCTCCATCTGTCAAAAAAAGAATTCAAAGAGACCTTATTTATTACATATCATCCATTACGAGCTTTGTGTACATGAGCCGCCAGCAAACCTCATCAAAGAACTGCTGGGTTCGACGGAGGATGTGTTTGAGCTCTGTCAGCTCCAGGAAGTTCTTCTTCAGGGCTTCCTGGTTGGTGTTGATCTCCTTCAGTTCGTTCTCCAGCTTCTCAAAGGTGGCCTGGAGATCACACGCCACAGATCACAGGACTTCACATTGGAACTCTTCCCTGAGTGAGAATGGTTTGTTGATGAAGTTCAGTGATTTCTCACCTCCAGATCGATCATGTCTCTGGGAAAAGGCACCTCTGGATTTTCTCCAGTGTCCACGGTCGGGAGGCTGGCCTTCTTGATCTCCTTTTCCACAAACCCTGTTTATGAGGCAAAAATCCACCTTTAAAGTGACCGTTCCCAAACGCTGATTAGTGTGAAAGTGTGTCAGGGCCTCAGGATGACTGTGTCTGATTACTCACTCAGTTTTCTGTCCATCTCCTCACACCTTCTCACTTCATTAACAAACTTGCGTTGGAACACGTTTACATCTGGATTCAGCTGCCAGATGGAAAATATGAAGAAAAAGAAAACTGCCATTTATCATTCATTATACTGTCTGGCAAAACCATTTGATAAAGCACATGTGTCCTGTACTTACATCTCTAAACTGGACCATACCCAGTTCCCCCAGCTCACTGACGCAGCAGTACGCTGCCTCAGACTGGAGGAAGAGCTGGGCCAGGGTCATCTCCTCACTTCTGAACAACTCCCCCATGATGACCACTGAATCACCACCTTCACTAGAGTAAAACAAACCTGTAATGATGCAATAAAGTATTTTGGTGAGGTTTACTTTATTATGGCTCTTTTATTATGTACTCTAACCAAGTACAGTGCTGTTGGGAGGCATATACCCAGAGAAGATCACACCTACATCAGACATGTCTAAGCCACTAAACAGCTTTCAAAGCAGAATGTCACTAACTGATACAAGCCGGGTTTTAAACTAACACAACAATACAAGGCTCATTTTTTAAGCTTATTATAAATGACAACTTCAATTGCAGTAACACTGCTTACCAGCAGGGGGTTGTTCCAGCAATACAACGCTGATGATCGCAGCAAAAATGAATACGGCATCAAGAACATCAACGGACTGGAGTGCATTCGTTAAAATAATGTTGCTATTGTCTTGCTGTCTGTCACATATATTTATTTATGTTTCCTTCGAAATAAACATGACGTAACAACAAAATTGCTCATGGTAAAAGCAGAACACTGGTAATAATAGCAGCAAAAATACACTCCTGTGTCATAGAAGTAAAATGAGAGCATCACTGACGTCGCAGCATCTCTCCACCTCCTCCACCTCCTCCTCCATCTGCTGCTGCATTTGTGCCCTTCACTGCTCAAGGACGCCATGATGCTGCTGTCAGTCAGGCCTGCAGCTCACCGAGAGCAGCTTCACCAAAACGAAGCAATCACTAAATAACGCTTCTTCGACGTTGCTCATAATCATGATCGGTGATTTTAACTCATGTTTGTCCACCATTTATATATTTATAAAAAACAAACAAACAATAAAAGCAACATAAACGGGCACGTAGTACGTGCTGTAAACGCTAAGGATCAGTGAGGCTTTTAAAAGCAGACGCGCGTAAACAAACAGTTCTAAAATGCATGCATGTATATTGTTGCACCGTTTTTAATGTCATATTATCATCCTTCCTCGGCGTCCATCGCATCTTTTGCCCCCCGAAGGACACATAAAACGCAAAGATCCGACCGTTCACAAATAAAATATCAGTTTCTAAAACATGCACAGGGTCAGGAACATTTTAACACATTTATAAAAATGACAGACAAAATGAGTTTTTCTCCCACTCACCTGTTTCTCAAAATTCAAATTCTCCTAAACGCTCTGGATGAATGAATGGATGGATGGACTGGAGTACAGTGTAATGTTAGATATGGTGAACGCAGAAACAGGGAAGTCGTTTTCTTATTTCAAAATAAAAGCAAAAAGAATTTAATTGTGTTGTTTTTTTAACGAAAACAGAGTAAAAGTGTCATCGTTTATGTCTCAGAGTACAGTGAAAATGTTCATCTGTGCTGCATTTAATTATGGAAAGTGAAAATGTTTCAACTTGTGTATTTTGTTTTAATCTGAAAATCGGTACCGGTGGAGAATTTCATTGGCTAAACTCTGTAAAGTAATAAAAACAGATCATCCTCATGAGGATAGGTGGTCATCAACAAGCTAGTTTAAAACCCAAACTAGTTCTACATAGGTAAAGAAAATGACTACACACACTGCCATACTATACTGTCCATATTGTTAAATTGTTATTGTTTTTTTTTTTTAGTAGTAGTACTAGTCATAGTAGTCGCAGTAGTGGCAAAACAAACTGTGTGCTGCAGAAGCCAAGCCGGAGTTTGCAAAAGTTAACAGTCTATTTTACAGTGGCACTAAAAGTCCGTGTGATGCAAATTTCAAGGGCAATTTGAGAAATCTGAATGGTGCACTATTTTAAACTGTTATTTTGATAAACACAATGACACCATAATTGAAACTTATTCCTTGTAAATACATCTTAAACCAAGTGCTGGTTTTCAACCCATCCTCTAAACATCCTCAGTGTCTACCAGATGTGGTGGAACACTCAACAACTGGCCAAGTGTTGAGTCAGTCCTAACCAGATTCTGTAGAAATGTTCCACGGTTCCACATGATACGGAGTTTAAACCAGGACACTGGAAAGATGCCAGGAGGTAATTTTGGAAACATGGAACTCCCATAACGTACATAAATTAGAGGCAGCTATTCAAAGATAGCTTTCCGTCTCATTCTGGGGTGCCATGTGGTTTCCATAACTCTCATGCATCTGAACGTTTTTTCTCCTTCCCGAGTGTTTGCTCATGCAGAGGAGCGTAGAGCAGAGTGTGCCACTGAAGTGTACATGAACTAAATTTTCAACATAATGAATGGAAAGTAACTATTTGGAAAATAGTTTTCAACATAGAAAATGAGTCTTCCAGATTTCACCTAAAATCCGACGACTAACTATGGACATACAGCTACCGAATGGGTTGAGTCATAAAAAGGAGGTGTTGTATTATTTAAGTGAGTGTTTAAGGCACGAAAAGACTGGGTTTTCTGTCTAACACCCAATAAAATACTTTTTATAGAGGGATCGTGCTTCACGTCGGAGCAGTGGCAGTGGATTTTCTGCTTCTTTAGGGAGATTTAAATCCAGGGTAACTCTCACCAAGCAATTGCAGTGATATTGATAAGTGAATCCATCACTTTCCCTGAGTGAGTTTATGAATTTAAACCTTAACTGCGGATATAGTTTTAAAACTGAAGTCTTAAAAGCTGATGAAGTACAGACAGTGGTAATAGATCCTCCTCTACATTCCTACACCTGCATTGCCTGAGCTTGTATACAAGCAGATCAGCACAGCTCTGTTCTTCTAACTATCCCAACCATGCTGATGGGACAGGGCTAGAAGAGGGGGTGTGTCACAGCTCCACCACGGGGCTGGGCCTTCATTCGTAGGTGGAGTTCTTCTAAAGAGTGTATGTGTGCGGACACAAGGAGGAGATGAGGGAGGGATTCATAGACAAGGGGGGAAGTCCAGTGGAAAAAAGGGGGGCTGGATTGAAGAAAAAAGAAAAACTCTGCCAGCTCTAGTTTGACTGGAGGGTTTGACTGGTGTTGCATTCGCATTCTAACGCTCATGTGGTAACATCCAGCACTGCTGGCTGCCCCTGCACGTTGGCCTGACTCCAGGGATTTGACGTAGACAGGACACAGACAGAGAGAAGGAGTCTTGAAGTGCATCTATGCTGGAAGGAGAAAAGTAAGTTTAGAAGCAGGAGGGAAAACAGAAGACGAAGCAGGTGAGAGAAGAAGAACCAGTGGTTAAGTAAGGTTGATAAGTAAAGTGTAAACTGCAAATCCACCACCATGGCAGCCGTGGAAGCACTAGAATCCTCAAGTGCCCTGCCTGAGCCTCAAACCCTCACTGAGATCTCAGACGATGAGATCAACCTTCCACCTTCCGATGATGAAGATGATGCTCTTGCAGCAGCCAAGAAAGAACCAGTCGCAGCAGACGGAGATGCTGCGGAGGATAACGACGAGGCAGCCAAGAACGACCCCCAGATGAACGGGGTCATGGTGTTGACTTTGCTGGACAAGATCATCGGTGCAGTGGACCAGATCCAACAGACCCAAAATGGGCTGGAGACCAGGCAGCAGGAGATGGAGCGTACAGTGACCAGCATCCAGGGTGAGCTGACCAAACTGACCAAGAGCCACAGCACCACATCCAACAGTGTCAATAAGATGATGGAGAAGGTGCGCAAGGTGAGCGTCAATGTGAAGACGGTGCGAGCCAACCTGGAGAAGCAAGGAGGCCAGATCAAGAAGCTGGAGAACAATGAGGCCGAGCTGCTGAAAAGACGCAACTTTAAAGTCATGATCTACCAGGTAGGACACAGTGTTTGTGTGAATAATTGGTTTGTACAGATTATTACATTTCAAGTAACGTCTGAAAATAAGAGCAGAGGGCACCAGAGTGGTTTGGAGATGGGTGTGGCCCTGTGGTGAGTCTGGGCAGAGGTGCTTCACTACGTTTCCTACTTTCTGGGATTATTTTATACAGAGGTTGTTTCTCTTTTTTATCATCATCATCATCTTCTTCTTCTTCTTGCTATTATTCAAAGCAGCGACAGGTTGTAGTATTGTCACCACACCTACAAAGGTGGAATCTTTCTTCCTAAGATTGAAGCCGGTCTTCTTTTGTATTCGCACAAGACCCTAAAAACCCTTACTTGACCTTCGGAGATAGGATTTTCCCTGGCACACGTCAGGAGTGTGATCTCCAACCATTAACTCTTCACCATCACATCTGAACACACTCTTCTTAATGTTGCAATACTTTTCTTGTCATCATTACTAAGACATAAATTACATTTCCCCCTAAACCAATTAGTATCTAAGTGCAACTCTATGAAATACAAGTGTGAAATACAATCACTCTTGAACACACACACTGTAACTCATCATGAGACTGTCAAAGTAGATTTGAACAAACGAATAAAGACATCAAGTGAGCCCAAACAGAAATGGAATGTGGCCTTTGGGCAATACAATGTTCAATATTCGAGCGAGCAGTTATACGAAGGAGTCCTGTTGGTTTAAGGTGGCCAGAAAGATTATTGTAACAGGGATTTTTAATGGGAGCCACTAAGAGCAACTATAATCTATATATAATGGGCCACACCTATTAGAGCCAATACCCACGTTGTACCAGCCAACCGATGTAGGCGCAGCAGGTATGTAATGAAGAAAAGTTACAACAAAGTATTGCTGTTGCTGCCAATGGAAAAAAAAGTTTTACTTAATAAAATTCTGTCATCCACTTTTTTTTTTTAGAAACATCGTGTAATCTGATTACTAAAATAGCTTTTCTGGCAGATGTTTGTTTTGTTGTCCTACGGCCACACATTTCTTCATGTCCTTACACAGAAGCAGTGCACATGCACATGGGTGAAGTGTACATCTGTGCTTGTTCTAGTCCCAGATGTTCTTCTACACCACACCTGCCACACCCCAGGCCCACTGTATACTGGATCAGTAAGCTGAATCCAGCACATATGGCCTCCAGACATTTTCCTTACATATCAGACGTATGTATAGGCCTGCAGAAGTCGAGCCCGCACATGTGAGCCGGGGGTTGCCTATCATTCAGAATCCATTTGGAAAAATGATTTCACTTCTTCCCCCAGTTTGATGGAAAATATCTCAAATGAGTGTGAGGTCCATCGAAAGACGGAGTTTCACTTTGAGACAAAGAGCAGGGTTTTTACTGAGGGGAGCCCTGTGTCTTATTTTAGCAATTGCAGAGTGATGTATAATAGTTTTCAGCCTTCTGCACAGTGGTGCAAGAACATTCAGAGTTTCCACCCTTGACTCAGTCGTCATGGCTTTTCCTGACTCCCCTTTCTCCTCCCTCCCTCCTTCCCTCCCTCTACACTCCTCTCTGTCCCTTTCCAGCGACTGGGTAAATGTCTATTAAAAACTCCATCTTAGGCAACTCAGACTGTCTAGCTGTAAAAGGTTGCGCATTTGTGCTTCTCTAACATACTTTCACAATATATCTGGCTTCTCCACCTTTTTGGCACACCAGCAGAAGAATTTATGTGTAATGATCCGCAGATGGGCAGGGCAAAACGCTGAGCAAAATACGACGCTAATCTTCATCATTGCATCTGACAGAATCTGATGATGATGAACAGTTTCTCAATCTGAAAAGCCTGTAAATCATATTCCTCAATTATAGTAGAGATAACATAATGCAATCCACCAGAAATGCCACACATGGGAGTTTAGGGTAGGGATTTTGTGAGCATCAGCCAACTGTTTGGGCCCTCTGGCGATGGAGGCTGGTCCTGAAATGCCAATCCTCTATTTCTGGCTCCATCACTAACTCAAAACAGTGGCTTTTGTTTACAGCTGCCAACTATGACATAACATCTGATTCCTCCTCATTAAACACAAAAGAAAACCACAGTATGTTCTGTTCTTAATTCTCTCTGCTACTTCTCCTGCAGTAGACAGGGTGAGAGCCATCAACACCCCCAGTCACCGCTAACACTGCTAACATTTGTCTAATGGGGACAGCAGGTCAACACATAAATACTCGGCATTGTGAGGACAAGAAAATATTTCATGCCTATTCAAATGTCCATTCTCTGTATCCACACTTTCAGTGTGAAGCTTCAAGAACAGACTCCTGTTTTTACACTGAAACTAGCTCATCTAAAAGCCAAATTTATACAGTATGTTTCTACAGAAAAAACACATTGTTACTTTGAATTAGAGTTTCTTTCACATAACAACGTGCTTGAAGTGCATAAAGCTAAAAATCAGGCAAAATATATTTTATCCTCAATATAACCCAGTGATCTAACATGCCTCAGGCATTCACATGTTTAACTGACACAATAAAAAAATTCCTGTCAGAAAAGCAAGATTTCACCTTGGTGAAGGCACACAGGCTCTGGGCAACAGGGAACCAATACAAGTCCCAGAGTTGGACCCTAAACCGTGTCCCTAGAGCTGCTGTAATGGACACAGTCCATACAACGCACAAAGAAAAACAACCTTAAAGCTTCATCAACAGGTTTGTTATATACTTATTTTATCGGGGATAATAATGATGTGTGTACATTTAAAGAATATCTATGGTCCAACGTATGTAGATAGGACTGGACTATGCCACAGTTTGTCCAGCAGGGAGCACTGATACGTTCTGTACTCGTTTTCCATACTCTAACTATGTATGTGCATATACATAATGACAGTTCAGTACAGTTCAAGGGTCCATACAAGAGCAGTCTTATATATATATAAAGCGTTTGGGTTAATGAGCCGTCTCCCAGCAGTCATTGCTTCTGCTTTTGCTGTACCAATCATTAATATTTACAATAACGACAACATCATTTAATTTTAAGTTTACTCAAATCTTCCCAACCCAGTTCAACAACCTCTCCTAACAGGGATATCATTTAGTCCTTGGGGGGAAGTGTGACTTACTGTGAGTCTATTTGTAGCTGTTTGACACAAGTAACGTAGCAACGGATAATGTTTTTTCTGATCATTTCCAGGCATTTTACATTAACTGACAGAGTGAGGTGGGAAGTTAAGCACTGGCCTTGCCCTGCCTGCACCCTCATGGCTCAGTGGATTGTTAAATCCCACCGCTAGTGAGTGGCGTTTGCGCTGACATAAGGTCAGTTCACACACTGTGGAAGCAGCACGGAGGCTTTTTAGTGGAGCATAAAGTGTTTGATCTCTGCGGCCCAGCAGTCTTTGCCTCAGCTCCTCCCTGTGCTGTGTCTCCCACTTCACTTACAAACCAAATCTACTGTTTCTCCTAGTGCATGTACCTCTGCTTTATGACACCCGTCCAGTCTACTGGGCTGCATATGATATGTGAAAGTGGAAACAAATCAGCTCCAGATCTGTCAGCACATCAGCTGGAAAAGACTGACAGTCACACTGTAAGCATGGGCAGCTGTTCCCTTCTTCCCCCTTTTAGGGTGTGTGTGTGTGTTCATGTGGGAGTGATTTGGTCCACGAGTGACACTTGGTTGTACTTCTTTACATCTGCCTTCTGATTCTCCACAGCTGAGTCCACATTGTGTAAAATGAAATTACAAAAGAAAAACAAAAATACATTAGAGGCAGCACTTCTGTCCAAAGATCCTCCAAGAGCAGATGTTCACATTCAGCCAGTAGTTCAATGATCACACCATCTCATTAACGGCCGCTGTCATGGACAGCTGAAAAGCCCAAGTGTCAGGATGTGAAGGAGACCAAAACAGAGATAAAAGAAAAGATAAAGAGCGCATGAGTACTTCAGATTTATCACTATTTATCTTACACTTATCTTCTGTGAATATTGTCGGACTGAACACTGCAGAAATGGATGGAGATGATCCATCCACACTGTGCAGGGAGTGGATGGGTGTGTTTCTGTGAAGGGCATATTTAGACAGCTGATTCATAGCACAGGCATCCCCCGCTCTCCGACCTAACCTCCTCTAACATCCGCCTCCACACATGAACCTCCCTCTTTTTCAGCTCTTTTCCACAGTGTGTCCTCCTCACCCTGCTCCGCCCCACACCACACCCCATCCCAACTCCCTTTCGACTTCCACTATTCTATTCCTCCCTATCTCTTAAAAACTAAGATTTAACATCACTTTGTTAAAAAAGGAGCATTCATGAACGCAGCCCCCCATTTTTAAGATGGGACTATTGTCCAGTCCCCCACTTTGACAAATTCCCAGCTATCACAATATAGGTCCCGTGTACTGCACCGTTCTGTACTGAACGTTTGAAAGAATTGAATGTCTCCTGGGCTACTATTCTCATTAAAAAAAAGAAAATAAAATCACATTGTAGTGCATAACTCTACATACATATATATATATATATATATGAGTGAATATCAGTGTTTATTGTTTATTGTTTTTCATGAATATTAAGAATGTTTTAATATTGTTATTCAAATGTTGTTGTTTTATGAAACCATGCTGTGAAAAAGCCAGATTATATGACAGATTATATGAAAGTTGTGACTAAAGCTAAGGCCATTCATTTAATAGCAGAAATTTTGGATGTTGAATTATTGTACATACATACAATTATATTGTTGGTTGAGAACAATGGATGGAAACGACTGTACTTCTAATGCACTGCGTTAATTGGTTATCGTAAACTATATATAAATATGCGGAGGTTGTGCTGCTGTTGGCCCACTCTGTGAGGTCTGTGTACGGCCAACACCCTTTTTCCATCGGTGCTGAAAATGAGTTTTTCCAAAAGTTTTGGAGTCTATCAAGGAATGCAGTGAATCGTTCAGAGAGTTGCAGTACAGTACAAATGACAGGATATTCTTTTGGGACACCTGCTGCCTC